CCAACAACCGGTTCTCCAAACTGCTTAGAAAGTTAACAACCGGTTCTCCCGAATAGGTGCAAACCGGCTGAATCCCACCACTGCTTCTAGAGCACTAGAATTAAAAGCAGGCAACCTCCATCACATGATGCATGGATCTGGATTTTGTGCCAAAAGGCGTAGCTTTATGTTTGTGTATTAGTGGATCTCTATATGCAAATCATGCGGAAAAGTCAGGGGGAGAAAGGTGAGCCGTGGCACTGGAAAGATGAGAAAAGCACACAGAGCTTTTCTCTGTATAAAATAGGGGTCAACAGAATTATTTTGAAGACCAAGCAATGTTGAAGCTGAATAAAATTCACAAACAACTAGTACCTTGCCTCAAGAGTTGTTATAGGATTCAAAACAAAGGATACAAAGGGTAGTGCGGCTTTGAAGCTGTGACCAGACAAAAGAAATTGCCATTTAATTTCAAGATATAAGGAGAAACATCAAGGATATTAACCGAGGTACCAAGAACTCTCCACCAAGTAGAGCTAAAATAGACAATCCCACAGATACTAGAAGTGCTCACATGATTTGTGCTAGAAGAAGTGTATGTTAGGGCTGTCAAACTCCCAGTCTGCAGGCCAGGTACATGTACTGGTCATGTACTGGCCACACATGTGTCCAGTTTAGAGAAAGGGAAAAAAAGTCCCATTATGTCACATGACATCATCGTGATGGCTTGAATTTGACACCTCTGGTGTATGCTATAAGTTTCACCAATGCTTTAAATTAACCAATGTTCAGGTAACCATGTAAGGCAGGTAATGATTTGGAAATCAAGTACTGTAGATATTGGCAAGAGTTTGGGAGCAGTTTTCTTTAATTTAACCAGCATATATATAAATTGCACAAGTCATACTCATAGAATCATAGAGTTGTAATTGACCTAAGAGGTTTTCAAGACTAAAGCCCCTGCACATTGCAGGATTCATTGTGTCATCTCTGATAGATGACTATCCATCCTCTCTTTGAAAGTCTCCAATGAAGGGGAAGAAGCCACTTCATATAATAGCCTATTTCACTGATTGACAGCTCTTAAGTCTTCCCTAATGTCTCATTAGGATACAGATGAGAGAAGAGTGTCAACTTCTGTATTCTGCTAGGCATTGCAGTTGTTTTGACTTCTGACTTGGCCAATTCTTGTGGAATTTAATTAGCAATAGCAGTAGACTTATATACCGCTTCATAGGCCTTTCAGGCCTCTCTAAGCGGTTTACAGAGAGTCAGCATATTGCCCCCAACANGTGGGGGCGATATGCTGACTCTGTAAACCGCTTAGAGAGGGCTGAAAGCCCTATGAAGCGGTATATAAGTCTAACTGCTATTGCTATTACATAAATATGTATAACTACGCTTCTCACTGTGCAAGAACATTGAAAATAGAATGGGAAACTACCCATAGTAATATTTGAAATTGAGAAATGAGATAAGAAATAAACCTTATTTGGACTGGAAGAGAGGGTTATACCATGCTGTGAATGGCAAAGGGTAACAAAATGCTATCCAGAAGACCATGTTACTCCTGCTTTCCTAATCCTTCAATTTTTTAAAAATACATGTTTCCCCAAGCATTTCTCTTCTATGTCCCATGTGTGTCAACTATTTTATATGGGTGGCATTCAGTACCTAGTGCTTAAAATAACAATATCAACTAGAACAGAATAAAGCCGAACAGAACATGGTTTCTATTTCATTAGTTGCAGTTGGGATACCCGACTTTCAAATTAACTCATTTCAAAACAAGCCAGAAACTCTGGCTGGGTTCCTTAGCCTTAAGAGGAGTCTGTTCTTTTCTTTTGTTGATGTAAGCAAAATCCATGGTTTCAATCATAGCATGGAAGAAAATCTGGCATTAAAAATTGAGCTATAATGGGATATCATGCATAAGTGAATCCTTGAATGCAAAAGAAAGCTGTGGATTATGTCGGTTTCCAGCATATACAAGAACTCGGCATGAATGGCAAACCTCCAGAAATAGACTTTGTTACAGATTTGAAGAAAGGAGTACTTTCCTCCGTGATAGATCCCCTTCTTCCTAGAGATCCTATGAAAATGAAATAGGAATGGCTGCTGTTAGTTTATTGGCTTCCTGAGAGATTCTAGCCTGCTCACCTTCTCTTCTATCCATGACCCATCAAAACCGCGGTCCACTAAAACGCGCCCGATTAAAGCGCGTACCTGACGTAATCAGCAGCGCGACAAATACGACCGTGGAGAAAAAAGGGCGCTTTAAAAAGCGCTTTTAAAGCAAGCCGATTCACATAAAGGTAAGGGTTAGGTTTAGGGTTAGGGTTAGATTAAGGGTTAGTGTTAGGTTTAGGGTTACGTTAAGCGTTAGGGTTAGGGTTAGGTTAAGGGTTAGTGTTAGGTTTAGCGTTAGGTTAAGGGTTAGGTATAGGGTTAGGTTTAGGGTTAGGTTAAGGGTTAGGCTTAGGGTTAGGTTTAGGGTTAGGTTTGGGGGGGTTAGGTTTAGATTTACCCGTTAATTTTAAGTTTACCGCTCACAGCGTGCTGTTTTCATCGCGCTGTGATGACGTCACGTATGCGCTTTCGTCGAGCGCGCTTTAGTCTACCGCGGTTTTGTGGTGGAACCCTTCTATCAAGGAATTACTCTTCTTACTCATCTCTTAAGAAAAAATAATAAAGAAGAGTGTTTGGGATTCGTTTATTCTCAGTGCAAAGAGCAAGAATATAACAAAATATTGTGAAGCTTCATCACTGGAGCGTTGTAAGAA